TCAATCAATTCTATTTCTGAAACTTCTAATGAAGTTTGTGTTTGAATGTGATGCCTTTCATTTGGCTTAACAGATCAGTTATTCTCAGAAACCTCAACACAAACCTCCATCTGTAGCACTGGATTATTTTCCAGAATTGAGAGACGTGAGGAATCTGACGGAGGAGTTTCTACTGGTGTCAAGTGTTTTTTGGCTTGTTGAACTTGAAATGGTACCCACATCACCTTCTCAGCCAACCTTAGTCACTTATGACTAAGATGTCGCTGTATTCCTGCACAATCCTGTTTTGCCTTTGTTTGTGCCTGAAAACAGATCAATTCTGCTTAATTTGGATGTATTTAGCACAGTATGCTGGTTGTTACAAGTACACGTGGAGTTTTAGGCGTAATTCTTGCAGACTAAATCAGGAATTTAAAAAAAAAAGATGGATTTGGAATCAATGAAAGCACTCTGTACTGTACAATTAGGTGGACAGAAATCATTTGAAGTTGAAACATCTGCACCTGTGAATGAAAATAAAGGAGAGTAAGGCCGTTAACATATCGCATTATGGAAAAGTTTTCAGCCAACCCTCATTCCTGTATATTTTGCTGGGATAAAGGGAAACGGGTGCAGATAGAAGATGCATGGAAATACAGCATCAAGACAAAAATAGTTTGTACAATTCTAACAAGCTTGAAAGTCAATATTTGGTATGACCACGTTTATTCTCTCTCGGGCAAGTTCAGGAGTAGCTCTCCAAGCTTCTTGAAGGACATTCGGAGCTCTTCTTTGGATGTCGGCTGTTTTTTGCTCTGCTCTCTGTCGTGACACGGCTTCAGTAATGTTGACGTCCAGTCCCAGTGTTCTGTTTTGTGGTTTTCTCTCCAGGTATGCTTTGACCTGCCCTTTGGGTCCGTACGACCTGTTGCCACTGGTTTTCAGTCCAGTTCTTACCTCAGCCTTTTCTTCCAGTTTGCCTTCCTTAAGAACGGCTTCTTGACAGCCATCCTTTCACTGAGACCATTTCTGATGAGGCTTCAGTGAACAGTAGATGGATCGAGGCTCAAGGGCCAGATGCATCTCTCGGGTCCTGTTTCGGGTTTTTGCTGGATTTATTTCCTATTTCTTGAGGACATGATTTTCAGATGCTGTTCGTCTGCTGCGGATAGTTTCTTGTGTTTTTCTTCTTTCAGCTCCTCCTTTTAGGGATCGCCACAACAGCTCATCCTACACCAGGGCTGCCCAATCCCAGTCCTCGAGAGCTACTATCCTGCAGCTTTTAGATGCATCCCTACTCCAACACAGCTGAATCAAA